TAAGTGGTGAGTTTTAACTTACTATTTAAATGTCTCTCCCACCTCTGACAAATTGTTTTTGGATTTCTCCAGAAAGCTTCACTTGAGCGGAAGCAGAGGTTTAAGAAAGACTTAAGTGATAAGCAGATCTAAACCTTCAGGACACCTTCTTACTCCGAGAGGGTGTTAGCGCTTTCTTTCCATTAGCATTTCCTTCCATTCTCCTTCACATTATTCATACCCCAGCCCATATTTTCCTACCCCAACACCTGGAAGATCTAAACAAATCTCACTTCCGTGGGGGAGGCTTCCTTCTAGTTCTTTAAAAGAAATTAACAGGTGTTATTTTTCTCCCAGGCGGATCCCTAATGACCCAGTGAGCTGTTTATTTTAATTGCACCCATATGCCTTTATACTGGGGGGCTTATGATGGCCCAAGAAAACAAGCCAGGCAATCAGAACTGCCAGAGAGTGCCTGGGATACCCAGACCCTGTGAGATACACACCTCAGCACATCCTGATAACTGTACATTTATACGCGGCTAGTGAAGTGAAGTGAACACAAACATCCCGGGGTTTAAATAATCACAGTGACCTGAACTCGGGCGGTAAAGTCTACATCTTCGAAGCAAAAGTGCATTTCCCCATTTCCACGTGGCTCATTTAATTCAATGAGCAGACAGAGAAAGAAAGCAACGTTGCTCTGTGTGGGTTTAACATGCTGAAATACCTACAGTTTCTAACTCAGATAATGGCAGGCCTTGTGAGAAGGAGGCAGCTGTTTTGCTTTTATATAAAGATCATTATTACTACTTATGAAGCTGCCTTAGTCTACTCAGATTTTTCCTAAAACTTATGAATGGGCCCAACTGAAAAAATCCTCTTCAGAATATTGATGCTTGCAAATTTGCTAAGTCAGATTCAGGGGCTTATTAACTGGTCACAACAAATGGACACCATGCTCATTGCATTCACCCATAATTGAGGCTGTTCTATTATTTCCAAAATAATAATAAACATCACTCAAATTTATGTAAGGCTCTTGGCCCTATGTTCTCAAAACTCAATGACAGATCTTTTCAAAACTGCTATGTAATATAAGAGAATTAACATGAAAAACCTAACCATATAACATCAGACATATTTTGAGTGTACTGGGTGGATACGCAGTACGTGCTAATGAGAAGGTATCTGGAAACACTCTTCCCACTTCTCTTTAGACTTCAGCCCTTTGCCATCTTTCCCTGGCATCTTCCAAACAGATGAATATAACCTGAGATGGTGACCTGACCGTTCATAACTTCCCTAAAGCTGAGGAATTCCAGAGTGTAGCTTATAACAGTATCAAGGAGGCAGGTCTGTATATAAACAATCTTAATGTCAAAAGACTAAAACATCTTATGAGAAATTTGCTTGGAAAATAAGCCCCTTCGGTTATTTTCAGTCTAGCTGAACTTAGGTTATTTGGGGACACAGCATTAAATTTATAAATGTAAAATTTACCAAGCCATTTTCAAGGCCCATACCCTCACGCTGGCACTCGTGGGTGGGATGTCGGGGGAGGGACCCAGGAGGGAGCAGCTGTTAATAAAACAAGTTGTATGTGACTAAAGGTGTACAGAGAAAGACGGATACGGCCAGATCTTGTCCTTGGTTCAGATGGAGAAGAAACAAAGTGGGAGATGATTTGTTTATACAACATAAAATAGCATTTACAAAATATGTGGCTCATGTCCAAGTGGAATTTTTTTCTTTTTGCACCATTCCTTTTGTATTTCATGGAAGTATTATCACTGGATAAACAGAAAACAAGCATTTTACTATCAAACTGTATTCTGGTCCTAATTCCAAACATTTACAATTGGGCATGGTTATAAAATAATTTCAAAGATATATTACATCTTTTCTAAACTTTGAAATAATGAATTCAGAAGCTATTCTTTTGAATACAAAGGTAAATCTGTCAAACCAGAAAGACAGGCATGGATGTGTTCTTAAACTTGCCCAGAGTGAGAGATTTTTTGATCCTTTCAGCGTGGATGCCCATGGTTCACAGCCCTTTCTGGAAATATCCTCGTATTTCTACTTTGTAGTGATAATACTGCCTTCCTTCAGATTATGAAGGGAGGTTAGAAAAAACCAGATCACCGTTTAGGACTTTTCCCCTCCACCTGATCTGCAAAGAGGCTCCAGGGTGGAGTAGAATGCAACCGGGACGAAGTCCTGATCACAACTCCACTACACACCAGAGGCAGGACCCCAGGGAGGTCACGCCCCACACACCAGCTCTGAACAGTACATCTCAGCCTTACTGGAAAGGTATTTCTCTTCTAATTTTTCTCTCTTTTTTCAAACTGGCTTAAGTGCATTTTTAAGGCTGAAGGCCAAAGAATTGATACTTTCTAATTGTGGTGCTGGAGAAGACTCTTGAGAGTCCCTTGGACAAGCAAGGATATCAAAGCAGTCAACCCTTAAGGAAATCAACCCTGAATATTCACTGGAAGGACTGATGCTGAAGCTGAAGCTCCAATACTTTGGCCACATGATGTGAAAAGCTGACTCACTGGAAGAAGACCCTGATGGCTGGGAAAAATTGAAAACAAAAGGAGAAGGGGGCAAAAGAGGATGAGATGGTTGCATGGTATCACTGACTCAATAGACATGAATCTGAGAAAACTCACAGTTAGTCAAGGACAGGGGAGCGTGGCACGCTGCAGTCAGTGGGGTCATGGAGAGCAGGGATACGACTTAGCAACTGGACAACAAAAAAGTGCATTTTATTGGTTTTCTTTACTACTGGAGGTATTTCACTGGACAGATTTGCAGGCACTTCAAAGGAATGCACATATACAGACAATAAATACACATGAACCACCGAGAGATATTAGCAGACCAATGGCTCTGATATTAGCTACAATCTAGTGGCAGTGAGATGCTTTATCCAAACACTCTCCCTCTCTCTCACAAGCAAGGCTTGAAGGATTCAGACCACAGGGTTTGCATGATCTTGCTTCCATGAGTTTTTCCTGCATTCTTTCACAAAGTCCTGAAACTTTCAATAAGGAATGACTTTATCTGGTAAAAAACCCATTAATTGTTATTTTCCTACAGGATATATGTTTTGGATCTAGAAAACACAGACCAACTTCTGGAAAACCTTGAATAGAACTGGACTCCAGTTTAATGACCTTGGCACTCAGCAGAGCTTAAAACGAACAAGGCGCTCAGCCTGTCACCTGTGCTTGAAAGCAGCTCTTTGTCTCTTTCCTGTTTGCCCATTTATATTTCCCTCTATCCTGAAAAGAACCTAATGAGACGAATGAGATCACTAAGCAATTCAAACTGACTCCTGACTTACGCCCTCCTGAACGCACATCATGCCTTGCCTAACCTGCTGGTTCTTTTCCTAGATTAGAAGTAAGAAGCAAGCAGTTAGAAATGACTAGCCCTCTATCCCACTAGCCCCCCAAGCAATCCTGCCAAAGATCATAGCCAGATAACGTCTGAAGAGAGAGCCAGCCACCTGCACTCAATGGAGACAGAGGCAGAAGCCACCCTCCTGCCTCCATGATTCAGAGATTCGTGCTCCTTCTCTCCTTTAGAAACCGCCCTGGCTGAGCAGAATCTTTGGAATTGGTCTCTGGACACGAGTCTCCCTTTCCCCTAGACAGCCCACTCTTACAGTTAAAGCACCTTTCCTCTCTCCTGACATTTGCCTCTCGAATTACTGGCTTATGAGAGGCAAGCAGCCAAACCTTAGTTTGGTTACACCCTCACTACCATCGTCCTTCACTGAACAAGCCAACCACGATCAGCTTCTCAAGAGAGCCCTACTCCCGAGGGACAGAATATTTGCCTTGCTATTTAGAGAAGTCTTCAGTGCCAACTCGGAAAGGTCGTTAGAAATTTTGGTGAAAAAATAATCTGACTCTTTTCAAATAGTTGAATAACCTCACAAGTAAACATGCTTATTTTCCTATGATAATAAGGCATACAAATTCCTCCCAAGTTTGAAAACAGAGCCATGCAAATGCATTCCTCATGCATGAAGGTCTCCCTAGCAAAAAATATCTCAGGCGAGCCCTTTGCTAATACTGTATTCTGGCAGCTCTGGGGATTCCAGAGCACGGCACTCAAATGAGGAGCGAGGGGCCACGCTTTAGAACCAGACAAACTGCGCTTTTCCAGCGGCCTGAGAGAACGCATTCTGGATGCTCCTGGATGCAGTCTGCTTGGGTAGTGTGTCTTGCTTTTGGCCTGGATGAGTAAGGCTGAGTCACCCACCTTCCCGAGCCCCACTCTGCAGCACACAGCAAAACCGCACTAACCCCATCAGAGAAAGCCTGCAACAAAGGGCTGATGACTTAATGTAAACATCCAGAGATCTCAATACAAGTTAATCCAAACAAGTCTCACAGGCTTTTGGATCCAAGACCCCCCTGGTTGCCCACAGTCTTCTGACTGAGCTGTGGCTAAGGGGTGGAGCCTATGAAACTCTGTGGAACCAGAGGCTCTGTGTGAGCTTCAGACAGGTCAGAAATGATCATTTTTTCCCCTTTCAGTCATCTCCAGAAAAAAAAAAAAAAAAACAAAACACGACATCACCAACACAATGGTTTCCTTTTTAGAAAGAATTCAGTCTTTCTTTGCCATGTATGTCAAGGAATGTTAACAGCGACTTACATGATACCTCAAAAAAAAAAATAATACTTATGTGCACATAGATTTGACCTAGCCAGGGACTGAAATCAACATAAGCAGCCTGCACACGTGGAGACAAAAGGCCTCTGTGCGGGGAGCGAGGGAGCGGGGCTGCTCCTTCTGCTGGCCGACGGGGGGGACGAGGCCGGAGAGCAGAGGGCAGACGGCTGCCCAGGACGCAGAGCCGGGCCCCGCCCAGCGCGCAGACGCCCGCGCGAGCCCGCTGACCCTTCTCAGCCCCTCCTGTCGCTCTGACAGCGTGACCGGTGGGTGGAAAGGCCACTGCGAGGACAGGCTCCGGGAGGCACGCGCCCGCCTACCTGCTGGGCCCGCAGGAGCGCCGCGTCGATGGCCTCAACCCGCTGTGCCACGGCGTCGCTCACCAGGCGGAAGCGGTCGTTGTCCTCCGCCACTGTCCGCTCCAGCCCTTCCCTCGCCCTCCAGGGCACCAGCTCCAGGAGCGCGGTGCTCACCTCGTTCAGCGAGTCCACCAGGGCTTTGTGGCTCTTAGCTTCCTTCTGCAGCTCCTGGGAACACAAGCCGAGAGACACAGGCCTGGGGGACACGCCACGGCTGGACGAGTGTCCCCTCCAAGTGCCCTCGGGGCCAGAGCCCTTCACAGGCACCAGGCAGCGTGGGCCCCTTGGCCGCACTCATGTTCTATATGCCACAGGTACTTCACACAGGGGAAACCGTTACCTACAAAGCTCAGGCAATCCCCTTGTCAACATGGCACGATTTGAGCTTTGAAACGTAGTATCAGTGTTTAAAAATTGGGAACCCAAACCCAGCAGGTTGATATGGATTATTCTTTGTTTGCTGGTAACCTCAAAGTAATCGGGACCCAGAACAGATAACTGACGAGAACCTCCCGTGTAGCTGCTCAGTGAGCCCCGCTCAGGGCTGTGGTGACCTCAGCCTCAAAGGGAAGGAAATCCAAAAAAGGCAGATACATGCATCCGTACAGTGGCCTCACTGTGTGATGCAACAGAAACGAACACAGCGCTGCAAAGCAACTATGCTCTAACAAAAACTCATGTAAAAAAAGTAATCAGGCACCAGAAAACTAAAGAGGAAAGTCGGGACCAGATTGGGGTGACCCTCAAGAGGAGGACACAGGCTTTAAATCACCCCTGCTGAATCATCACAGGCTCAGTGAACCTAGCCTCGCTAACTCCCCGCACCCACGTGTGGTCATTCTTCAGGGATGATAAAAAACGGAGGCTGGCCCCTCTGAGAAAGACACTCAGCATGGGAGAATACCAGTTTTTGCAACATGATTAGGAAAGTCACCTCATGCCATGCATTGACCTTATAAACATGTGATTATCCCAACCAAATTATGTGTGTCTCTGAAACAGTGATCATTGCCCTTTCTTTCCTGTTTCTATGCACAATAAAGTATACTCCCACCATAAGGTTCGAGGGACAAATGACAAGACACTGTTCTCTTGTCTGGGCTGCTAAAAGGTCACACAGCTGGTCCACTGCCAGTTTCTGTTGGGTCCACGCCCGCAAAGGCGTCCTTGAGCACATTAGTGGTGACACGTGATAAACGTCACCTTGCCCCGAGTGACCAGGCCTCCCCCGAGAGATAACAAGCAGATGCACGGAGTGTGGGTCAGAGCGTACTTTTTGCCTCGCGTGGGCTTGGCTGGCGGCCTCTCCCTTCAGAACCTGCGTTTCGTACGAGAGCAGCTCCACTTCCACCTTGTCCAGCCAGGCGCACAGCGCCTCGTGGGTGGCCTGCAGCCGCTGCGCAAGCTGCAGCGCCTGCTCCAGGGTCTTCGCAACATCCGTGCTCAGCTTAGTGATGTCCTGGTATCTCACTTTAATGGCTTCCAGTTTATCTTGAATGATTAAAACTTCGTCACCTAGAATTTCAAAGGCATGTTATATCTCAGGAAAGGGGAAACAGAGTTCTTCAGAGGTGATGCTACGCTGATAGAGATTTTAGGGGGGTGGGGGAGAGGAGACACTTTTCTTAAGAAGTTTTGACTCAAGAAAACTCCTTTTCTAGGTCTGAATCTTTCTGAGGATTTCTGGCCGATGTCAACAGCTCTGCAAATGCAAATACAAAAACTGTCAAGGACTACGGCACCTTCTGTTTTGTGAAAAGCATCACCTTTCGTCTATCTGTATGGTCTTTCCGTGTTTAAGGTTAAAAACCACCTGGGTTCAAATACTGAGTTTGTGACTCATTACCTTGCACAAGATACCTGACCTCTCTGTGCCCCTGGGTACTTATTACAAGGACAGAACCTACTTCATAAGGTTGTGATAAAAATTCAATTAGTTTATATTTGCAAAGTATTTAGAATGGTGCCTGTCACAGGCACATGTTTATGTACAGTCTGGGTGGTGGTAGTTTAGTTGCTAAGTCATCTCCGACTCTTGGACTCCTGCAACCCCATGGACTGTAGCCTGCCAGGTTCCTCTGTCCGTGAGATTCTCCAGGCAAGAATACTGGAGTGGGTTGCCATTTCCTCCTCCAATGTATAATCCATGTGTGTGTTAAAAATAATAAACTCATCTGTACTGTTCCAACAGACCTTCACCTGCCTCTCTGTAATTTTCAGACACACGGAGAATGCGTCCTGAGCGTCAGGTTCCGAGCACAAGGCTGCAGCTATGATACTAAATTCCTCCCATGCATAATGAACAGCACCTGCCCCCACCACACACGTGCTGAGCTGAATACGGATACAGTGAGAGGTTCTTACAGCCAAAGGGATTACTAAAAACCAGTCAGCATTGATTTTCTTGATGAGTTCAGGCACAGAGAAGGGAAGCTTGGGCACAGTCACACTATGTGTCACCAAATACCACCTCTCTTAAAATTTTACACAAGTGTCTACAACTGCTCTACATCCACAACAACTGCCTTCCACAAGTGGAAAGCTAATTTCATTCTGCCACGCGATTCTCTGACCAGTGCTCAGTGTTATGAGTAATACACAAAACTTTCATTAAAAACTCAGTGAGATCATGAGAAAAAAGTGAAATCATAGCCCAAAACCCCCTTGATCGGCCTTCAGAGTGCTCTCCAGAACGAAGTCTTGGACTGGCCCCAAACTCTAAAGTGCTCTGTGTTCCCCCATCTCCGAAGTATTCAGAAAGCAACACACAACGTCCGTGGAATGAGGATTCTAAAGGCGGCTCACCTGTCGTTCGTTTAAGTAGCTCCAGGCCGTTCAGCAACGCCTGGTCTACGTTCTGTTTCCTAAGCTGGATGTCTTCCTGCAGAACCTGAAATACAGGGGCCACTCTGTTATCAGCTCATCTTGGGAGAATGCTAACTAGGCTTCAGTTTTCTGAGTAAACAGCTCACATTTTCAAACATTCCTCACTGCTCTCACACTGACCTCTCCCTATTTCAGCACTGTGCCCACGTCTCGGTTCCTCTCTCGTAATTCTCTCCCCTACTCAGAAAATGAACTATGTGGAGAGACCGGAGTACTGGTTAATTGTGGGCCTTTGTATACAATGATGAAATAATAAAATGAAAAATGAACAATCGGTTAGTAGAAAAACTGAATCCCTTCTGACGTTACATGTGATTTCACTAAAAGTAATTGAATATGACACTACTATATATAAAATGGATAAACAACAAGGACCTCCTGTATAGCACAGGGAACAACGATACTCAATATTTGAAATAACCTAGATGAGAAAAGAATCTGAAAAAGAATATATATATATACATACACTGAATCAGTTTACTGTACACATAAAACTAACACTATACTGTAGATCAACTAAACTTCAATTTCAAAAAAGGTCACTGTATACAAAGGCAATGTCTTTTTTTTGAGTACAGGAATTAACCTAAATCATAGAGAACATAAAATAATACAGAAATAAAGAGAACTGAGAAAATAAGGTCAACTGAAATGAAAAAATGAAATAAACCAAAATACCCGCAACTCAGCCTGCTGTGTCCACAGCCGCTCGGGGCTGGAGTCCTGGACCGAGAGCCGCCTCAGCTTGTCATGCGCTTCACTCAGCCAGTTCATCAGCTCCACTTCATCTTCCCCAAAAATCTTAGCATTACACAGAGCCTGCTGCAGGAGCTGAGACCTACTGTGGCTTTTCTCTTGAATCTCAATGTACCACACTTGGGAGGAGTCTAGTTTACTCTGCACCATATCTTTATCCTCCCTGGAGCTCAAAACCTTTAAAGACTGGCCAATGCTAACGGCCTGGTGTAAATGCTTATTGTGATGCAGGATGTCATCTTCTAAGGCCTAAACAAGGTTTAAAAAAGGGGAAACAAAAAGAATGGGACAAATAAAAATGACAACATAAATCAAACAGAAAGATGACATGTGAAATGGGTATAAGGTTGAACTGAGGCATCACACAATAGCACGTAACTCAAATGTGCGTCATAAAACCACAAAGGAAAGGGACAACTAGATCCCTCGAGTGTGATGGGAACCTTACTTTGTGTTGCTCAATCTGCTCCTCCAGCTTGGGCGCTTGGGTTCCAACGGGCTCGCAGTTCGCCAGCCTCTTCTCTGTGGTCGACAGCCACTCGTTCAGCGGCTCTAAGGTTTCGTGAAACTGCTGTGCTACCACGGAGATACCTTCCAGCTGACGGTTCCTGAAAACACGCCAACAGGAAGGTCATTCGGGGATGAGGAATGTGGGAAGCTGTCAACAGAAAGCTTCGCTCAGGCTCCCGCGTTCCGCTCCCAACACTTTTTGTAGAAAACATCTAAGGTTAAAGTGAAAACTCACACTGAGAGGACAGTTCGAAATAGCTCTTCTATTCCCTGAGCTTCCCCTGCCAGGGTTCAATCCCTGGTTGGGGAACTAAGATCCCTCAAGTCACTCAGTGTGGCTGAAAAAAATAAAAGAGGTATCTACAATTTTTTTTTTTTAAAGTTTTCCTATTAAATTCTCCTTTAATTCTTAAAACTGAACAAAGACCAACCTCAAGTACCTGAATCTTATGAAAGTCTTAAGTAACTCATTATAATTCTTACAGTAGCTATAATCATCAATTCAGTTCAGTCGCTCAGTCGTGTCCGACTCTTTGCGACCCCATGAATCACAGCACGCCAGGCCTCCTTGTCCATCAATGTTATAATAACAATAGCAGCAATAAAAATGATAATAATAGGTAATATTTACTGAACATATATTCTATGCTTTACAAATTAGTTAAATTTAGCCAGAGCACCAGTTACTGAGACTGCTTTAGTCAAATGATTAAAATTAGATTCAAGTTTTGAAAAATAAAGCATCCCCTGCACTGGAATTACTAGGGATTCCTCTCCTCCTTTAAAAAGTATACTGTCAGGTATGTTTCCCCAAAGCGACAGTTATTATTTTATGGGCTAAAATATCATGAAAGAGAAGAACTATTCCTCTGACTTTTATAAAACAGAGCTTGAAATGCTTTTAGAAAATTCATTGTTTCCTCCATTAAAAAGGCACCATGTAAGTTAAAACCTGCTTGAACTGTCCTCGGTTTCCATCGAGGGCAAGTGATTGTTTTGGTCTGTATACGGAGAACCTGATTCAGTATTCAATTCTGTGAATCATTTCTGCTGGGACCAAGAGCTGCTGTCTTAACCTGTCATCATGTTTAATTCTTAGGAAGCTGCCTGATTTGAGAAATGGATGTTCTATAGGGACAAAGGGAATTATGGAAAACTGGCACACGCTACTGAATGTATTGAGTTGGCCAAAAAGTTTGTTACGCTTTTTCCATAAGATCTTACTGGAAAACCCAAATGAACTTTTTGGCCAACCTAACAATTTCTGTATCTTTTTATCACAAACCACATATATATATGTTTTTAAAACTTTCAGTTGAAACATTTGACCTTTAAAAAAATGAATAAATTACTATATTATTTTTAACTTATGCATGATCACTATCTATGACGACTCTTTCTAAATCCTATTAAATAGTATCCATTCACCTAGAATCAATGGAAATACCTTTTGAGACTAGGTTTAATTGGCTGTGATTTAAATTGTAAGGGGATCTAGCAATCGGTGTCTGAGTCACAATATGACCACAATCCCTCCACTTAATCCCACTGTGAGAGCGGCTTAGGAAAAGGACAGTCCTGGGAGGAGACCAGAGATTTTGGCTTTCATTTATTGTAAAAAAGTACTGAGCGCCTCTCCCGTGGTAGTAGTAGTGATTCTAGGGCATTACACAGAAGGACTAACCTACTGATACACGTTACAGGGAGTGTGAAACTTCCAGCCTCCTTGGGAGTCCCTTACTCACTTGTCCTAGAACGCTTCCTGCTACTCTGTAATTCAAGATTAGACAAACCCTTCTCTGCACCATCCTATCAAGAGTTCCAAAGAAGGCAGGAATGTGTGGAGATGCTCATTCTGTTCAGTGGGTCATCTGTTTCCAACCCAACCAGCGTACACTCCGGCGTCGCAAGGACTTGACATGGGTCAGTGTGGTGTCCACACAGAGAATGCAGAAAGAACTATACTCAATATCCCATGACAAATGATAAACCAAAATGGGGAAGGATATTTTTAAAAGAATGTATATATACATTCTTATATGAAGTGAAGTTGCTAAGTTGTGTCCAACTCTGCGATCCCATGGACTGCAGCCTACCAGGCTCCTCTGTCCATGGGATTCTCCAGGCAAGAATACTGGAGAGGGTTGCCATTTCCTTCTCCAGGGGATCTTTCTGACCCAGGGATTGAACCCAGGTCTCCTGAATTGCAAGCAGACGCTTTCTGAGCCACCAGGGAAGCCCACATTCTTATATATACGGATATATATATATATACACATACACACACATGTGTGCAACTGAGTCACTTTGCTATACAGCAGAAATGAAAACAGCATCGTAAATCAAGTATACTGTAATAAAATTTAAAAAAAAAAGAAATGTAATGAAACACAGCGGAGCCACGCTCCAGGTCCTCACCTTGGTAAACACCACAGCACCCCCACCTGCCTCACTCCCCAGACACCTCCCACTCCAGCTTAAACCAGAGCTCGGGACACCCCTGGTGGCCCAGACGTTAAGCCTTCATACTTTCAGGGCTTCCACTGCAGTGGGTGCAGCTTTGATCTCTGGATTGGGAACTAAGATCCCACACGTCACAGGTTGTGGCCAAACGTAAAATTAAGAAACTGAGGGCACCATTTAAAAAGTATTATTAGACAGTCAGAACTTAACTAGAAACAAAAATAGAAAAAAACAGGCTGCCTGTCACCTCCCCACCCCAGGCCGGGTTCTTCGGTTCTCTGCTATCACGGCACCCTGGGTGCAGGTTTCACTCTGAACCATCACATCCGTCCCTGCTCTTCAACGGCCACCAAACCCTGCTACAGTATTCCCTGAGGGTAGGGATGATCTGACAAGTACACCCGGAACACCTGGCCCTGCCTGATGAATGCAGGCAGGCAATAACTGTGTTATAAATGAACGAATAAAGGACCCCGTAAGGGAAACACGGTTCTTAAAGAGTTGCAATAAGACTTCCCTGGTGGTCCAGCGGATGAGAATCCACCCTGTAATGTAGGGGACATGGGTTCGATCCCTGGTCAGGGAACTGAGGTCCCAGACACTGCAGAGCAACTAAGCCTGCACACTGCGACTAGCCAACTAGGTCCACGTGATGCAACTAGAGAGTCAGTGCACCTCAACACAAGATCCTGTGTGCCGAACTCAGACAGGTCACAGTCAAGCAAATAAATAAATAAAAACAAAACCAACAGGCAAGAGTTAGGAACGATCTGGGGACTACAAGACAGCCCTATCGGAGGAACGAGAAGAGAAGCCACCACCCTCGCCCTCTATGCTCACATACACGGCAAACACAGGAAAAGAGCAATTTGAAGTAGTCAGACCAAAATATGAGAAATCAGTACAAAAGTCCACTGCCACTCTTCCCAAACCCTGGCAGCATTTACATTACCTCGTCTCGGCCTTACTAAGTAGCGCCTCCCATCGGCTATCCAGCAGACTCAGCTGTTTCAAAATCTTCACTTTATCCGGAGGTTCAGCTGTGGCGGCGATTTTTTCTCCTTCCCGTTTGATCACCTCCACGGTAGATTTGCGGTCATCCAGCAATCTTTGGAGAAGCTTGGGACAAAATAGTAAATAGAAAAACAGTAAATAAATGGAAAGGAAACAAAGGAATAATTGTATAAAAATACGCAAAACATATGCTGTGTGGCATACTTTTGACATGTGACAAAAATAATTTTGCATGGGTTCACATACAAAAGGATTTGAGAAGCAGAGTTTTCAAAAACCGCATCCTATTTAATGATTCATTACTACTGTGTTAGGCACTGTGGCAGAGGCTTTTCGTAGTAAATAAAATGAGTATTGATAAGGCCATGAAACCATTCATTCTCAACTTTTTAATACAAGATAACGGGGCAGAAGGGCGCTAATACTCAGGAAAACTGCACTGCACTGGGAGTGCAGAACCCTCATTACAATAATGAAATGGGAACACCCTAACACTCAACAATTATCTGTCCCGCTGAGACAGAAAAGATCATTATAAATCATCACTATTTTCAAACCCTTTTCCCATGGTAAACAATCTACCACAGAAGGGAAGCTGAGACTCAGACCGGTTCACAAGTCAATGAGGCTGAAACCGGAGGCTCCTGGCTGCTTTGCGGAAGTAGGATAGCTCCTGAAATTCTTTATGAGGATAAAAACTAGAGCCTTTAACTAGCATTTCCACAATGAACCAGAGTGAAACATGTCAGAAACCTTCAAAGTTGGCTAAAGAAGACTAACATTTCAGGACTGAGTAGCAGGAAAAAAAAGTCAATCCAATCCTTCATTTCAAGAAGCCTGGAAGGGAGTGTTTGACATAGGGAGCCAAAAATCAGGCTTCCCTTCCTCCACTTAAACAAAACAAGCATTTCAGTAATAACTGCCATCCCCAGGCCCCACGTGCAGAGTGGTGAGCAAGGCACAGGGACACAGAACACTGAATACCACTGCTGCCTGAACCTGACCCTGGCCGATCCCGGCGGACCAAAGCCATGGATGGTCACCCAGAGATAACAAGCCGCCAGGAGGGTATTCTATCACTGCCACTTCGCCACCAAGCCCACCCTGCTCAATGGTATGCAGCAGCCTGGATGGGAGGGGAGTTTGGCGGAGAACAGATGCATGTGTATGTACGGCTGAGTCCCTTTGCTGGCCACCTGAAACTATCACTACGTTGTTAATCAGCTATACTCCAGTACAAAACAAGAAGTTAAATGGCAATCTAAAAGAGACCACCACCCAGCAGCAGAGAGGAACAGGGTCCAAGAGAAGGGAAGAGACGTCCTCTCCTGACATAGGTCAGAGGTCATAAAATCAAAGTACGACAGGTGGTTTAGGCAGTAAAGGAAACTATTAAGTGGATTACTTTCAGTAAACTTTAATGAATAGCTTCTAGCAATTAAGAGCAAAATCGACAGACAGGCTTTGTTGGCTAAACATTGTTCATTTAACTCTGGGTAAATACTACAGGTTTAAATTAAATCATGAATGGTAACAGTCATATTATTTTATTTAACACCATATTATATATTTTATATTTATCATAGAAACTACACAAAATATTTTATTACATATTGTAAGTATCACTTTTTTTCAAAAACCAAACAAATGCAATGTGTTTCCTCTTATACTTCTTTATTCCTTACCTCTAAATCTATTTCTAATTAGTTAATTTCTCAAGATACCAAAGTCTTCAAAGAATTTTCAGAGAGAGTAGTACTAGATGCCCAAACCCAACCAAGCCTCTGAATCCATTCCTTTTTTTAAGCATCTTGTCTTTTTAAAGGTAAACCTCAGCAATGCGCTGTATGCCAGGAGCCCCCCGTTGCCATGCGGCATTTCAAGTCATGGATGACATGAATCAATCCTGGACGGGTCAGTAACGCTTCCCAATGACCACAGAAGTTGTAGGTGTCGCCCTAAGCAGTCAGCAGCCCTCTAAGGAGCGTCTTTCCAACTGGGTCCTATAGGTGAAGCGTCAAAAGACACAAAAGCCCAGTTCTGAGCATAGGGGATCAACTCTCTGCCTCGTCAGTACAGGCTGAACCATGACAAACTGCCCATACTGACCCCATACAATAGACAACTGCATATGCACCAAACTAGTGCATCAAAGAACCATGATAACTCTGTTCGAAGTCACCTTTCCGGTGAGTGAGGTCTGCCTTGACTGCACTATTTGTTTAAAAAAATTGTACACGTCCCCTCTCTACTTTGCATTTCCTGTCCCCATCCTCATCCTGCCTCTTCCCAGCTCTTACCTTCCACCCCGGCTTTGCTTATCAGTGGCCCACGTTAACACCAATTGCTTATTTTTGTTTACTGCCTCTTTTTCCCTGTTCTTCCCTTCCCACTAACGCTTAAACTTGATGAAGAACTTTTATGTTTTTTATTTGACGGTATAGCTCCAGCACCTGCAAGGATGACTAACCTGTGGCAGATGATGGACAAATATTTGTTGAATGACTAACAAAACAAGGTCTAGAACATCAATTACTGGTTAATGAAGATGTCCGATTAACACAGAGAGAGTCACAAGGTAAACGTTTGCTCTCATTATTACGGTGTAACAAGAAACAGGATGCGCGCTTGCTAACTCACCTTCTGCTCCTGTATCTGCGCCTTCACCACCTTGAACTCGGCGGACGGGGCTTTCTGATTGGCCACGAGCTCCTCGGTGTCCCCCATCCAGCTGAGCAGCGACTCCAGGGCGTCCTGGAAGCGCCCGCAGTGCAGCAGGGCCTCCTGCAGCTGGGCTGCCCGCTGGGCCACCTGCACAACCGGGGCCTCAGTTACCATCACGCTCGCGAAACCACACATGCCCACCAGCCTGCCCTGTCCATGCCCGTCTGCCCACTGATCACAGATTCTCTCTTGCTTCTCACTTAAAACCTACTCAAGGCACCGCTCGTGGGCAGGATACAGACAGAAAGGAGAGAAGCTCATCAGCAAGTCAGCTGAGCAGATGAGGTTACCCTCTCAACCTGTCAGTGCCAAAGAGGAGGACTCTCGGGTTTTGGATGTATCCAATACACCGATGATTGGCAAAGAATGGTTCAAATATTTTAAGGTTACTGAAAGAAACAGTGCCTTTTTCATTTTTACCGTTATCCATGGGACTCCATTATTTCCTATGTTGAAAATCAAGGATAATAATTTTTTTAAAGACTAAGACTTAAAAAAAAACTATTATTTAATAGAGAGAATCAGAATTACATTCAGCCACACAAAATAACTACGAAGTATCCAATTAAATTCTGCCAGCTCCAAGCTCTATAGAGGCCTTTCTTAACAAGACAGGGCCTTTGTCCTCCAGTAAATGGAGTCTCTGTGTCCCACACAGAGATACCCTATCGCCCCCTCAAAGGTCTTTTCTTTTTGGACTGGACAAGTACTTGGCAAGATAGTTTAAGTACCATGGAATATATTTATACCTGACACTGCATCCCCGTTGTGTGTGAGTAGCACTACAGTCTGAATCAGACTCTAAAGAAGGATAAATAAATGCTGTTTTGACATCTGGCCACCAAGGAAGATTTTGGAGCAGGAAAAACTCCAGAAACAATTCCCTCCACCACCAGATGAGCCCTGCCATCCTGAAACCCTTTTCTGATCATTTCTGTCACATAAAGAGCTGCCGTTGTGTTTCAGCATCATCTCCTTAAGCTAGCAGAGTTACTTCCCAGCGTTTTCTGTCATGCACATTTGGGAAAGGGGGGGGAATCTTCATTTCATCAAATGACATTTGGACTCAGCGATCCATAGTGAGGTGCAAACCCTCACTCCGGGGCGGATAGACACGGCTGCACTGTGTGACCTGTTACACAGTGCAGAGTGAGTTGCTGATGAATGAAAATTAGGTTTCACATAAAAAGTGAGATTTCCAAGTTCTCTGGAAAATAAGTAGACCATTTTGGCAGCGGAGAGCCCAGGCCCCTGTGTGGCACTGATCCGAGGCACCAAGCAGCCCGTGCCCTCAGAGGTGCGTGCACTGTCCCCGCCCAGGGCAGAGGACCTGGCCACCGTCCAGACAGGGCCCGCCTCACCCGGCTCGCTGCCCGTGCGTCTGCGCCCCGAGCCCTGGGGACGCCGGGAGGGGCCACAGGTCACAGGGCAGCCAAGGAGCAGGCGGGGAGGGGAGGCTGGGCTACCAGACACAGGACGGGGGTCCCAGCAGACGCTAGCCACCAGTCCGCAGGGACGACAAGGGAGGGAGAGCCACGCCACCTTCTTGTTGAGGGTCTTCCAGCGCGCGCTGGCGTCGTCCAAGTCGTGCTCCAGGGTCTCAGTGCTGGCGCCCTTGGCGGCACTCTGGATGAGGCCCTGCCCCAGCCAGTTCACATCCTGATGCTTGACCTGCAGGGGTTCGATCTCTTCCTTTTGGAACACCTACGTTTCAAAGAACAATGATTATCTGAATTAGCGTACCCAACAGTCCCCAAATACAAACATCTGTCCAATCAGCCGGTATGGATTATTACAGATAAAGAAAGCCCTGGGTGCCTAAGTCATGTGTTGCTGCCTAGTCTGCTTTACAAATAGTAGTAAAAAACTAAACATAAATTCATAATATTATCCTAACCACTCAGAAATATTCAGGAATGATATTCTAGGTGCATTTCATCAGATGACTTATAAAACGAAAACAAGAGTGGACGTATCTTCTCTAAAACTTCATTATCACAGCACTAGGAATCTCTTATCACTCCAATTTAACTAGTAAAAAAAGGTTTAGAGTGGCATTATTTCATTCTTTTCTTTTATTAATGTCATTTGCAGCAACATGAATCCAACTAGCAATAATCATACTAAGAAAGTCAGAAAGAGAATGATAAATACTTTATGATATCACTCATACGTGGAATCTAAAATATGACACAGATGAACTTATTTAGAAAGCAGAAACAGACTCACAGATACAGAGAATGGACTCGTGGTTGCCAAGGTGAGAAGGGCAGACTGGGACTTCAGAGTTAGAAGATGCAAGCTATTACACAAAGAATGAATAAACAACCAAGTCCTGCCATATAGCACATGCAATCCTACTCAACATCCGTTCCATAATGAAAAAGAACAGAAAAACACAATATGTACACCTATATGTATCCATGAGTCACTCTGATGTATGCCAGAAACTACCCTTTGTAAATCAACTATGCTTCAGTTCAAACCGAGGCTCAGTGACCGCCTGGAGGGGTGGTCAGGGGACAGGAGGAGAGGATGCATGTGTCCCTGTGGCTGATCCATGCTGACGTACGGCAGAAACCAACCCAGCACAGCAATGATCCTTCAATTAACAACAAATAAAAAATAAGACAGAGAAGCAACAAAGTCCTGCCGTGCATCACAGGGAAGTACACTCAGCATCCTGTGATAAACCCTAATGGACAAGAGTATGAGAAAGTGTACCTATATAACTGAGTCACTTTGCTGACAGCAGAAATTAACACAACACTGTAACTCAACTATACTTCAATAAAGTAAATTTTTTAAAAGCCAAAAAAAAAAAAAAAAAGGTACAGAAAATGCTAAGGAGCAAGATGATAAGATGGGCCCAATATGGGCCTTCCCGGACAAGAATCCTTACGGACTCCTCTGAGGCCTGCTGCTTGCTGGCAAATGACATCTGAGCCTCAAGTGGAAATAGGAGTCACTGACAAGAAGAGGAGTATGTCAAGGCTGTATATTGTCATCCTGCTTATTCAACTTGCATGCAGAGTACATCATGAGAAACGCTGGGCTGGAAGAAGCACAAGCTGGAATGAAGATTGCCAGGAGAAATATCAATAACCTCAGATATGCAGATGACACCACCCTTATGGCAGAAAGTGAAGAAGAACTAAACAGCCTCTTGATGAAAGTGAAAGAGGAGAGTGAAAAAGTTGGCTTAAAGCTCAACATTCAGAAAACTAAGATCATGGCATCCAGTCTCATCACTTCATGGCAAACAGATAGGGAAACAGTGGAAACAGTGGCAGACTTTATATTTTGGGGCTCCAAAATCACTGCAGATGATGATTGCAGCCACGGAATTAAAAGACGCTTACTCCTTGGGAGGAAAGTTATGACCAACCTAGATAGCATATTACAAAGCAGAGACATTACTTTGCCAACAAAGGTCCATCTAGTCAAGGCTATGGTTTTTCCAGTGGTCATGTATGGATGTGAGAGTTGGACTATAAAGAAAGCTGAGCACCAAAGAATTGATGCTTTTGAACTGTGGCGATGGAGAAGACGTTTGAGAGTCCTTTGGACTGCAAGGAGATCCAACCGGTCCATACTAAAGGAGATCAGGCCTGGGTGTTCATTGGACAGACTGATGTTGAAGCTGAAACTCCAATACTTTGGCTACCTGATGCAAAGAGCTGACTCATTTGAAAAGACCCTGATGCTGGGAAAGATTGAGGGCAGCAGGAGAAGGGGATGACAGAGGATGAGATGGTTGGATGGCATCACCGACTTGATGGACATGGGTTTGGCAGACTCCAGGAGTTGGTGGTGGACAGGGAGGCCTGGCGTGCTGCAGTTCATGGGGCCGCAAAGAGTCAGACACAACTGAGCGACTGAACTGACTGAATGACAAGAAAAGTTGAGCCAGAGGGGCCACACACGGGGTCACACACAGAAGAAAGAGGTAAATGGGCGCTGCAACAGCATGGATGCCGACACATCCACATCCTCAACCTCTGTCAAGATGCTAACGGGCCTGCAAGAGGCACGGAGGCCTCCCCCCCGGGATCCCAGTGCATGTGGCCTGCACGGCCACTCTGTCCCCCATGGGCCTTGCCTGCACATGGACTTTCCAGCGCCTCCCGGGCAACCCTCCAGCCCACCCAACTATAGGCCGCACTGCCTGCAACTGGCAAAGGATCTAGCTAATGTGTTAGAGTAAAATGCAAGTTCTACGAAAACACCCAATTTGTTTTCCTTAGGGCTGCTCTATTTCCTGGGCTTACCACAGTACCTAGCTTGTAATATGAACCTGGTAACTACTTGCCAAATGAATTATCAGTATAGAAAATTGTATTCATTATCTTGGGGTGGGTGATGATCATTCCTCAATAGATAATACTGCACATCAACTCTTTCATAGATAATACAAATGCTTTTAATATAGGGCGTGAAGGAGTCATGAGGACAATAAACTCATTTAACTAAGGAAGGAAAGCTTCATCTGGAGGTCAGGGGAAAACAAGGTTTGGGGTGCTGAGTCATTATACCACATAAATACAACAGTCCAAGTGAATGAACAGGTAAACAGAATATAGGAAAACACAATAAGAGCAAATATCAAAATAGGAGCTGAGAAAAAATTACAGGCACAGTATGGAAAATAATTTTGAAAGATGTAGAGGCTGCCAAACTCCCCAGACTTTGGCCCACGCCCAGCACACTGGATACGTCTGTGCTACAGTATGAATGAGTACATTAAAGAAGAGCAAACAAATGCACGATCACCTCTTCTAAAAGTCCCCTTTCAACAAAAAGCCCAAACATTTTCTGACAGTTTCCACGCTAGCTAATTGTTTCTATAGAACAATACTCAATATAAAAAGTCAATTACACACGAAGAATTATAGGAGTTCCCCAAATCACTGGGACAAATACACAAAATTTTTTTCGTAATTTTTTAAAAGGCATTAATGTACCTAATAAGTCAATACCAGTAAGGTAGTGAAAACAGAATTCCATGCTATGATTCTACTTCTTTTTCTATACCACTTTCCAAATTACTATTTCTAGGAATAGCTGTAGATATGTTTTACTACTTACCGAAAAAAAGAAGAGGGGGAGGAAAACGGCTACATGTTTAATTCCGGGAACTTGCCTGGTACATAAGGATTCAGGGAAAAGTTTTATTCTCCCCTACAGCTAGTTTTCAGGGCAAAAAAACAATAAAACCAATATAAATGTTCCAGTAAATTGTTTTAACCTGTGGTCTTGGTTTGAAAGAAATTAATTTCAGGGTTGTCTATCAGCATAGTTCTGGGTGAGTCTGCAGTAATTTTCGAAAGTGCTTCCCAAGATTCACTAAGGGTTAAAAAAAAAAAAACACTACTAAAGAATCTATATACTCCTAAGAGTTTAATCACTTTCTACAAATAAAGTGAAAATCCTTTATAGCAAACAAACACTCTGCTAAACTCTCAAACTAGCACACCATTCAATGCAATCTCAAGGAAAGGGCATGGTTAATTAGATCAATTATTTCATAGACTGATAGCATCCAAAAGCCTTATCTCTCAGTAACAAAATACCTAGGAAGACAGACTCTCCCCAAGGCTAACCCTCAAGCACACAAACACAAGAGAAGCTTAAAATAGAGTAAAATTACCTCTGAGGCAAAGTTTACCAGAAGAGCTTAGGAAAAGGACTAAAATAGCTAAACTTCAATCTAAGTGGAAAGAAAAAAATTACAGGCTTGACAGCCATCTCCCTACGACAAGGCTGCACCCTTCACTGGCTCACTTCACTCAGCACTGAGCAAAAGGAAGACGGGCTTCACGGACTGCAGAAGGCAGCACAACCGCCTCTCCCCGCGGGCAGCGCTGCCGAGAGAACACTTGCAGCACGTGTAAAGAGCCCTCAATTTGAGGAGAGCACTTCTCAGACCACAACAGTGTACCACTGTGTTTGCGCCTTCCTGACTAAGCCCCTTCAAGCTTAATAAACCCCATATAACTGCCCTTAAGTGGCAGGGTCTTAAACCACAATTTGTGGAGAAGCCTAAGTTTAACATGAATTCACAGTGGAGGGGGCCATTCAAAAGAAGGGGAACGGCCACCATCCTACCACCAGAAGCAGGAATGCAAACAGCTGGCAATGATCACGCTCCTCAGGAACCATCCCTAATTAGCTTGCAGTGATCGATGGATCAATGTCTGCCATCTGGCTGGGTACCAGTCAACCACCCCTTGCCCCCACCCCACTGCACCCCAGCCAGAGAAAGGACAGGACTGACCATGGTCAGAGACACCAGTGACCACTTGACGGCAGATTTCCCATCCCTGTTAATTACCTGAGCAGAGTGAAAGCCGTTACAGACAGGGGCCAAGGTTCCTGCCTGCGCCCCCGTTTTTCGGGGAGCCGCTTGCTTTCTTACTGCTCTGACTTGAGAGGAGCACGGCACACGGATCGCCTCCACCTCCTGGACAGAAAGAGGAGTCTCCGCATCCTCTTGGGATGCTACATTGGATTCTTCTGAATCGTACTGTGTCAGTAACATCAGGTTTTCCACTAAACTTGTGCCACCCCAATCAACAACATTTCCCCCCAGGTCTATGTGAGAGACAGCCAGCTCCTCAGGAGAATCTCCCACAAATTCCCTCCTTTGGGTGGTGCTTTGCAATTCTCCTGATCCACAGGTTCTTCCTTCTTCTCTGGGGTTA